TTATTTTTCCACAGGTATTCTGGGTCTTGCTCTTCTCTTACTTCTTCATCAGAAACAGGGTACATTAAGTTAATGGGGTTTGCATATTTTATTTTTTCCTTCGTTTGTGCACCTCGTCTCACTTTTGCTCTATGAGGTGGAAACTCACAAGAGACCTCATGATTACTTATTATCTCCACCCCTGCAGACACAGAGTACTTATGCCAGAGATATCGCAGTAATGCTGCAAGTGGCAAAAAAAATGCTCATTTACTTCCTTGAACGTTCTTCCTATGAAAACACAAGGTAGCTAAGAAATCCACAAAGCTTCCTAAAACAACACTCTGTACCATACGAGTGTCACCAATATTCTAATTAGTGTAAAAACACAAATGACTGAAGTATTGTTAATGTGCAAAAACAAATTACTACCTAGAGCTAAGTAAATAAAAAAAGATGCCACAAAGATTTATTAGTATAATTTTTTATGCTTTGTCATATCTATACAGATTTAAAAGATAATTCTAATTTTGTGTGCTTTAAAACCTGCTTCTGGGCAGCGTTTCTTACCTTAGCATGAAATCAGTCTAGCTTTTTTGTCCCCGTTTCAGAAGATTTATTGCAGGTTTGTTCTACAGCGCTTTGCAAAAATGTCCATATGAATTCTAATGGATTTATTATGTTCCAGATTAAGCCAAGTTATTCATTGTACCTCTGGCAGGATGGTTAGTCATTTTTCAATTGGCAGTTGATCCTCTACCCTAAAAAATGATAAGTTCATTGCTCTCTCTAAAGACAAAACCCAACATCCCAAGAACATGACGTTGCCCTCTTACCCCATGTTTCACAGTGGGGCAGATTTGGTTAGGACAATGTGTAATATCAGTTTTCTACCAAAGGTTATACTTTTCATCAAAACGGTTTCATGCTCTTTTTATCTGACCAGACCACAATATTCTGCATGTTTGCTGCATCTCCTTCATTGATTGCATCCATCGTCTTAAGGTTTTTTCCATTGGGACCAGCTCATTTGGAGCGCACAACCATAGCTGACCTGTCAATCTGAGTTGTGGATCTTTACAGCTCTATAGTTTAAGTGGATGGCCGTGTCTTGGTAGGTTCGTAGCTGTGCCATACCTTTTCTATATTCAGATAACTGATTGAAATGGACTGAAATGTTAAAAGCTTTGGGCATTGTTTGGTAAATCAATTCTATTCTAAACCTATCCATAAATTCATCACGGGGAAGTCTGGTTTTTATACTTAAATAAAGTTACATGCAAGTGCACTAATTGTAAATATTTCTGTTTGATTTTAATTTAGCATCAGAGTAAAGTGACTGCACTTTACTCTGATAAAATTTTGCAACCACAAAATTTTAGATACATTTTGTGGTTGCAAAATGTACCTAAAATTAATTAAAGCTAGCGATTGTGTTGTTATATTAGGGATGTGAATAATTTGGCAAGACACATGAAGTAGATACAAGTCGCATATGTCTTTTCAACAAATCCTTAGAAGTAAATTAAAAGATCCTGTTATGCTGTACTTTTTTTTTATGTTTAAGTATAAAATTAGAGAGAATGTAAAAAACAACAGAAGTTGAGAAGTCAGCTTCTGCTGTTCTGAAGACGCTAAGCAGAACACAAGAAAAAACACACACTTTCACTGGCTCCATCTGTCTTCATGAGAAACACACACACATACACTTATGCACATTCAACTCGAACGCTTACAAAAAGAACAGGTGAATATTTTAACACTACATGCATCCTGCTGTTGGCCCACGTCGTCTCCCTCTCAGAGCCCTGTCCTCTCTGCTTCATCACTCTCCTGTGTTGCTTTGTTGCTGAGCTTTTACCAGCGAAGGTCAAGGAGAGAGAGTAGGGAAAGTTAAAAGAAAAAGAGTAGTGTTGCAAAAAGACTAGCTCTATTTGGACTGGGAAAAAAAAGCTCATGTGCCCTTTTCGCTGTGTCACAGGCTGCCACAGCCAACAATGTCCACACTGCTTGTTTGTAGGTATTGCAGCCAGAGGAGAGAGACGCCCCACACGCACCCTTTTGAAAAATTTCACTTCCCTGGGGTTTGGTCTCCCGTGGTACCTGTCTCACTCCCTGTGTAGTGAGCTTCCCCACAACCCCCCCCCACACCCCCCCACCCCCACCCCGCCCCCCTTCACTCATTCTTAATTCATCCATCTCTCTCTTATGGAGAGATGAATGAATGGATCAGTTGCTTCCTGATGTGCTGGTCCAGCCTAGCATCACCCTCAAGCTTCCTCTTGTAGACACCTCCAAGGGATCCATCAAAGAAAACAACTGAGCATGCATCTCTCCTTCTCTTTCTCTCTTTCTCTTTCAATCTCTGCTTTTTTTTTACCTCCTGAGAATGGCTGATTACTGTTCGCTCCATGGGCTAAGTGGGGCAGATAGAAGACTCAGCTGGAAAGAGACAGAGAGAGAGAGAGAAAAAAAGAGTGATAGAGAGAGAGAAGCAGACCAAGTGGAGGAGAGCGTCTCCTCTCCTCTCCTCACACTCACGTGCGCTGACAACACTGACAAAGATGCAAAGCGCGCTCACTGCCAAGCCTGAACGCTGCTCACCACTCGGCATGTCATCCTTTTGTAACGCTGCAAAACACTACAATCTATAGAGACAGAAAATATCAAATAAATAGATACAGTAAGATGTGCGAGGCATGCACCTACATAGGGTTGTACACGCAAGCTCACTGACACATTCAGGAGTTGCAAGAGGAACATGCTGAGACAAACTGACAAGAGGAATAACAAATCTGATCCTCAGTCATCTGCAGGCAGAATACAGCTGGCAAGGACGCCAAGGTGAAAAGAACCCCACTGCCTCCATCCCAACCCCTTACCTGACGGCGTACACTGAAGAAAAGGTAAATCCTAGATATGTACTTTGATGCAAAATGTTTCAAGTTTACAGAATTTGGGGTGAGACTCAGACTTGCCCATTGTTCTTATCTTCGTACTGAAAAATCTGGAGTCAGTGGTGGTTTCTCTTTCATATGAGGAGCCTCTCTTTCTGCCACCCACCAGCTAAAATGCAAGCAACTATCTGAGGTTCTGCATGGGAGTGGGTGGTAAAGTTAATGCAGCCTTGCAGAAAGCACCTAATATTGTCTCCCTGTCCTGTTGCTCTTCACGTGCACAAAAGATATAGAAAACTTGTAACTGGTAACTTGTACTTTAACTCGATTTGTGTGCTTTAGATGAAATAATCCTGAGCTCTTCTGCAACACACAATCAAGGTGTGTTTCATGTCAGGCTTGACATGAAACAAAAGATAAATATATGGGGAAAAAATATCTCCTGGCCACAATTGGGTATGGTGGAGAAGAAATGATTCTACGGGCTTGTCTCATTTCAAAAGACACAGGAAACCCAGTCTATGAAAGATAACATGATCACATTCGACTACTGGGAGTTTCACAATAGAAAAACTTGTGGCCTTTTGCAAAAAAACGGGTTGTCATTGTTTTTTTTTTTTTTCAGAGAAAAACAGTCCATAACATATTATCAAATCAAAGAAGAAACCGTTTGTTGGAGACAAAGTTAGCCATGATCTGTCTACAAACTTAATTTTTACGAAAAACCTCTGGGTGAGCTGAAGAGAAGGAATCAAGAGAGAAGAAATAGGTTTGTGGATGACCTAGGGTGATTGTGCAAGGGGGAAAGGTTAAAGATTCTCCTCTTTCTCGCTGAACATCATACAATTAGGTTCTTTTGCCTACTTAGAAAAGCTATAAAAGTAGTAGGGATGCCAATAATTATAGCACTAAAAGTATTGTTGAATGCTAGTTCTTGGTGTATTTTTTACACTGGCTGATGTTAAAGGTTGAATATTTCTAATGTTTTGGTTCTACTCTGTTGCAGAGGAGCCCTATGCTGCTGCTAAAATTATTAATTTATTGATAAAGCTTGTTACACGTCTTTGCCAGAAGCAGCAAAAAGCTAAAAAATAAATGTCCTTGTCTGTATAAATTTGACTATCATCTAAAGACCTGCCAGTTAGTGTTTTATTGACATAGTGGGGTCCTAACTCCAATTCCAGAAACCACTGCTGAACAACACACAACTCACAGTGCAGGCATGGATTATAGAGCATTAGAACAATTTCAAAGGTGTAGTAGTGAACAAGCACATAAAATCACTAATTCCTTTCTAAAGCTTGTCCCCTCACATAAAACAACTGACAGAATTTTGGTTTTCCTCAGTGGGGGTCTTGTCCCACAGAGACCAATCAGGGTCCCCATGAGGAGACCAGCAGTAAAAGAGAGCATACATAACAAGAAAATAGAAACATGGTTTCATCTCATTAGACGATGCTCTGGTGCCAGTCAAGATAGGGTTGTGTGTGTGTATTGATGTGAACATGTGTCTCAGCAACATCAGAGAACCCCCCCAAGATCCCGTGAGAGTTCCCAGATCCCGTGATGTGATTAATGTAGAGGCAGCAATACCGCGGACAGTGGTAACTGGAGGTGTCTCATCACCCTGCGCTCATGTCTCCAACTGACAGTGACAACTCGTTTGGCAAAGACACGCGTACACACACGCACACACGCAGATGCTGGCATGCACGTGAACACGCACGCGCGCACGCGTAAAGGCCTACAGCTGTTTGTTATGTAATGATTCAGTGATCGTGATCCAGTTTCTCATTTAAATAATCCACATATTTCCTCTTCGTGGTGCAGTCCTTGATCGACACACAGCCGAGAAACGGAAACCTCCGTAGGTTAATTAAACGCCTCTCAATTCTGCGTGCACGTGCCTACACGCACGCTCCTGGTTGCATGGTTTAAAGAGGATGCCGCACATACACAATTTGCTCCATGCAAAAAAAACAACAAAAAAAAACATTCGTTTTAGAGAACTTAAGAAAGCAGGCGGTTTAAAGTTTAAAAAAACTGCATCTGGGCCTGTTGCTAAACACCTGATCCCTGCTGAAACAGGCGCGACACACGCAAACAACCATATTGTTTACTTACTCAGATTGCCTTGCCAGGGTCAGGGATCGACAAAGAGTTGTTGGGGTCATCGGAACCAAAGATTTGCAACTGGGGCAACTTCCGCCGTTTTCCGACTCACTCTCAATGGGGGAAATCGTAGAGGGGTCCGCTGGGACCAACTGCATGTCCCCTGGGTCCATAGGTGGGGTATGTGGGGGCTGAACTGCAGGAGACACCTCAACCAGCGCTGGTGTTGCCGCATGTTCTGGCAGAGACCCCGTCGTTGTCTTGAGCTGGGGGTCCTGCGGGTGGTGATGATGGTGAAGGCAACTGGCGTCCGGGAGAGTGTGATGAAGATGATGGTGAAGGTAAGGGAGCTGCTGTTGCACCCTGACGTCCCGCAGGTGCCTGTTCTCGCCGATGAGCTCGTCCACCCGCCTGTCCAGCTCCTCTATCCGTGCGCGCTGGGTCTGGATGAGACTCTGCTGGTTCTGCACGATCGTGGTGAGCTCCCGGAGGTACAGAATCGCCTGCACCGGGTTTTCTAGCAAACTGGAGCTCATAATATCCGAGATAAGTGGGAGGAAGAGAGAGACAAAAAAAAAAGCTGGACTGACAGATGGAGGGACACAGGAGACGGAGACACTCTTGTGTGCGGACGAGAAGGTGTGAATGCCCTTCCGCTCCTCTTGGTTCTGCTCGGTTGTAGATGTAGCTGTACCGACCGAGCCTGTCTCCTCTTCTCCGGTCGTTTCCCTCCCTCCCTCACTCCGACTCACTCCTACTGCGCTGAGTGGTGCTGATGAGAGGAGCCAGATCCAGATGTGACAGGAGGGAGGGGTGGCGCTTGGAGGCGGATGCGTCATTACGCACGAAGACATGAGAGCAATCCAGAGCAAGGACGCACCCTGTAGGTGCAAGAAGTTCCTGCTGACAAGTAAAAAAATATATAATATAATATAATATAATATAATATAATATAATATAATATAATATAATATAATATTTTTTCTATTGTAACAACAGAAATGTCTAATTCCATAAATTAGTTATTAATATGTTTATTGTTTGTATTGTGAGACACATCACATAATATAGTTTTTTTTTTGTTGTTTTGTTTTTTCAATAGCAATTTTAGTAAATATATTGAGCAATAAAAAAAATAGTAATGCTTAAGCTTATCTGGGCCAGTTTGGTCAATCCAAAGTAGTGATTACCCAGTGCTTTTTACTACCAGAGTATTTTTTTAATCATTTTAAGGATGTGCAGGCTACATCCATGTTCTGTCTTCCTCCCACAATCTAAAAATATGCATGTTAGGTCATTTGGTCACTGCTGTCCTGTGATGGACTGGTGAGTGTCCAAGATACTCCATTTCTCACCCAGTAATGGTATTTTTCATAATATCAAGATTGATATGGTATTTAGTCTAAAGTTTAAAAAAGGGAAAATACAAACACAGAAATTAACTCCACGGTCATACTAGCTTTAGCTGTGACCATTTTATAAGCAAGAAATCACAGTATTTTGATCTTCAGATGAAATATAAAAATGAATAAGTTTGCATTCAAATGTTAAGAGTTTTTGTTATTCATCGAACTAAATATGTGACACAGTTGTTTTTACCTTCGAGTTGAAGAGGAAAAAAAGAAGTGTTGAAAAGATGCAAACTAAGACAAAATCTCAAAGATGAATTTAGCATAACTCAGCCAAATAAGCTAAAGAACGGCTAGACTAAGCCAAAAATCTACGGCTAAAGTAACCAACGCGGGACCTCAAAAAATAAAATCCGAGTGACCGCGAAGGCAGCACCACAGTTTCGTGGTCATGTGATACAATGTTGCGGAAGTCCAGATATTGCGTCTCGTAAAATCAAGCAGCCGTGAAAGAAATAACCGAAAGCTTAAGCTAATCATCAAATATATCGTTCGTCGCCGTCAACACAACTCATGGTCAGGTAAGAATGTTATTTTTTAGTTCAGCGTTAACCGCAACAAACCGTATGGTGCTGCTCTGGGTGCTGCTTTTTAGCAAGTCCAGGAATAGCTTTAATCTATTTTTGTGTTATTTACAAAACAGCAGAGACACTCTGAGTTTATTTTCTACAAGACATAGTTGACAAAATCATCTTGGGCGACGGAAGTAGTAAATTACAAGATAAATCTGTAATATAACGGCATCAAATAGGCTGCAGATCTACACTGTAGTATATATATATGTCATGTGAGAGTCAGCAGAGTCCAGACAAATCGATGACATGACACCAGAGGAGAAAGTCCAGTAATGAATGCTCGTTTCATTGTTACGTTGGGATTTCATTTATTCTTATAGACCTTAGATCGCTCGATGCCGTTTTTGTGGTGTAAGTACATCAAATAAAAAAAAAATAAAAAATGAACTCAAGAGGTTCAGATTATTCGCTCAAATATTTTTAGTACAGACAATATAAACACGACACACAATACTTTGCACACGTTTTCATTCAACCGCCAAGCTATTAGCCAACACCAATCAATACTTCACAAAGTCACATAACAGATTCTCAATTGATTGCATGTGGTCTATGTATTCAGCTGTTTTTACACATAGATATACCATAATCCAAACTATACCACTTTAATGTTTTGTGTATTTAATGTCTTGAATTGTATCTGTAAAAAATAAAAATAAATTAAACAGAAAAGCTTAGTAAGAAAAACAATTCAAATGTAATATATCTTACAAATTAAGATAAAGAAACAAAATCTTAAAGCCAAAAATGAGATAATGCAATTATTAGTTTACTGAAAACATAAAATGGACGATTGTAGATACTTAAAACAAGACTTAAAGAAAATGTTCACAGAGAACTTTCAATAGATTGTCAGATGAAAAATATTTATGATTTTTGTTCTGTGGAAGTTTGCATTGCCCTAAAAATTATTAAAGAAATCTAGTCATAACAAACATAGTAGGCTCAAAAGGTGCAATCACATCTACTTCAAATCTTCTGTCTCCACAATATTGTAGGTTGCCGTCATCATCCTAATTTGAAAGATCAGTGTATGCAATTTCATATAAGTCAATTCTTGGATGCAATGTTTTAGTGTCTGTAATATTTCAGGTACCCTGCTCTTAAACTCTACATCCCAATTCTGTATTTGGTCAGTTGCCCTTAATGTTCACACCTGATCTAAATCTTACTGGTTGAGATGATAGATCTCAGGGAGAGTAGAGGAAACATTGTGATGATGAAAAAAAAAAGAAAGAGACTAGTTGATATAAATCCCAGTTGATATAATCAGCAAGTATGCAGCAATAAAACTGCAAGGTCATGTTTTTCTAACATTGTGCTCAAGTTTATTAAGTGGACACAGACGGTCAACAAATAAATAAATAAATAAATTTCCATAAAACTGTCTAACACTTACATATTTCTGTGAAGGTGAGACTATATCATTTTAGGTTCAGTGTTGTTTTCTACATATATTCCAAAAGCTGGCTGTTTGCACCAGGGAATCTCTTAATATCTGCACAGAAACAATACAAATTTGACATTGTCTCCCAGCAAATTTGGTACAATCAGGAAAAGGAGTAGTATTAGGAAATAGTCAGTATAATCAATACAATATTGGTATATAACCAAATAGATAACATAAATTGTTGACATTTTCTTTTGACCAGTTACATTTCAGTTTTAACAAACCTGCTTTAAAAAATGAGTGGAATGCTCTACATAAATAGAACGATTCCATTTATAGCTGAAAATGGAATTGCTACTGTACCACTCCATTGCATTAATTACTCTGGAAATGTGCTCATTTTCTCCAAATATCACACACACCTAACATTAATCATATTTCTTCTGGTTTAATTAATATCTATCTTGTTATCGCCATTCCCCTGAACAAACCTGTCCAGTTTAATAGCTCTTGAAATGGGAGACAAAAGCAACAACAGAGCTTGGTTTCATTTCCCTACAAAAATAACTACCTTGCTGTTTGCTGCTGTTTTTTTTAGAATGACACAGAGGCACTGCCTGGAGGGCCAGGTATACTCGGTGCCTCTCGTTCAGCCTGAGCTGAGGCGAGAGGAGGCTGTTCTTCAGATTGCAGATGCATTGCTGTACTTAGAGGTTATTTCTACAGACATTTTCAGAAGGTAAGCAAGCAACACACGTACACACAGACTACAAATATAAATATAGTTTATTTGTTTATATGGCACATGTGTGCAGCATCACAGTTTTCCACATTTGAGTTCAGAAACAGACACGTGGTTCAGATCCGGTGTTATTAATCATTAAATTTTTTAATTTTTATTTTATTTATTTATTTTGTTAGACCATTTAATAGCCAATTTTCACAGTGAGCATAAAAAAATTATACAGCTCTTGGAAAAGTCTCATCAATGCATTGAATGGACTGATGTTAAACATTACGGCATCTGCTAAAAGTAAGCTGCTATGGATTAAGATGCCATTTTCTCTAGATTGCACAGTTATTAAGCAGCAAATGTTTTACACCAGATGGTCCTGTTTGGCACACTGCGACCATCGGCTTCTCCTGTAATTATATCACAACACATATTTATAGCTGGAAAGACAGGGAATTGTAGTATCAGTTACAATGTGGCCTGTTTGTAGTTAGCAGTGTGGGGACTTTCTTAAATTTAGCTTTTATTGTATTTCTGCTGCCAGTGGTCTTACATTGTCTTTAAAATGATAGAAAAGTATAGTATTGTTATGTTTGTGTTGATGTTGCTTCCAGGGTCTCTGAAAGTGTGGAGAAGAACCGGCGTCAGCTCCAGAGTGTCTCTGACCGGATCAGACTCGCTCAGGCCCGTGTTGACAAGATTAAGGGCAGTAAAAAGGCCACCAAGGTAACATAGACAAAATTACAAGTTTTATACCTAGATTCTCATTGAAGCATCACATAAAATCCTTATAAATCTACGTGCTAAGGTGTTCTCCAGTGCCAAGTACCCTGCCCCAGATCGACTGCAGGACTACTCCTCCATCTTTACCGGAGCCACAGATCCTTCCTCTCAAGTCCGGCCTCGTCGCAAGATACAGAATAAACTCCGGCCTTTTGATGAGAAGGCCTGGCAGGTGAAAAAAAAAAGTTCACTGCTGTGCTTATTTTGTTGTGAAATCCATTTATTTTGAAATAATCGATTATCACCTAAAAAGAAAAGCAGCATTGCCACTGCCAAAATCAGCATGCAAAATCAAGCCGAAGCCTACAAACTCTTGAAGAGTGTGGGGTTTATTTAAATTTTTGTCCAAAATGCGATAAGCATTGAGAACATCTTATTGAAAATGAACATTTTTGAACTTTAATCTAATATCTGATATATTATAAGCCAGACTTTGTGGAAATTATTATTTCTTCTTTTAATTTTAATAAATTAAATTAAATTTAATGAATTAAAAGAAGATGATGCTATTTATTTTTGATTTTCCACTTCAAAATTAAAATTTGTGTTTAACTTATTGATGAGTTTTTTTAAGTTACTGAGCGTTACTGAGAGAACTCAAGCAAATTAATGCTTGTCAGAAATAAAAAGAGCAAGAGCCTTTTAGATTGATGTTTTAATCTGCACTCCAGTAAATAAAGCATTAACAAAATACAGATGTCATAGCTCACAAACTGGTTTAAAGAATTTGTGTTTAGTGTAGAATAGGTTCAAGAGGCAAAAAAAAGCACTCACATACTCACACTGCGGAACTGGAAACCATCCCACCCAGTTACATTTTTAGCTATACAAATATTCAAAATTCTGAAAAAA